TAAAAATTATGCGTCGGGCCCAGGATCAATTAAAGCTAGTGCAACCTGGTATCTGCCAGAAATCATTCAATAAAGAACACATTGTTTCATTTGTTCATTTCAGTTCATTTATTCGCAATTAAGTTAATATTCACTATTATCAATTAATGTCTATTGTCTGTACATGTTATTATAAATGAATGAAGCAACAGTTTTTTATCTTAATAAAATGTATATTTGTAAAACAAATTATTACTTTCAATAAATTTTGAATTTATATTATCTTATAATTGGATACAATTTAACAAACAATAATGTTTTAAGAAATTAGAATTTAATACTTAAATAAAATTGATTTTGGTACCGATTCCCATAGTCACGTCACTTTCGTGACGATTGTCACCTTGTTGTCACGTCACGGAGAATGCTTTATTCCCATAGTCACGGAGAGTGACGTGACAAAATTTTGCTATACGATGGTAACACATATTTGTTTGACATTTCCAATAATAATAAATATTGAAAATCAAAAGCGTTTTTTTTTAAGTTTATAAATTCAAAATTTAAAATGAGTTGTATATATTTGTGATGGTCATCTGACGAGGAAGAAGACGAAGAGGATGAAAAAAAAAGAAATTTAATTTCCAAAAGAAAAATGTTAAGGGATAAATGTGATCCTTTAAATTTACCAGACGCAGCGTAAGTAAATAATTCCTCCAATGTCGAAACAGAGATTTTAGAAGACCATCCAATGGAAGAACCATTAAATCTGTGGTAAAAAGGAAAAACGACATAAGTGGTTTTTTGTTACTTTTCAGTAGAGCAATTTTTAACTTTGAATTGAACTCTGAAAAAAGTTAATGAACTTATTGTTATAATTCTTTTATCAATAAAAGTATTCATAACCTGACATATTTTAGTTCTCAAATCTAGACTGAAAGTTGAATATTAAGGAAGTTATGAACTAAAAACAAATTTGTGTAATTCTTCCCTTATTTCAAACGCTGATAAAGTTAAACACAACTTTACATATGTCATTTTCCCCAAATCCTTTTTATCCAACTTACCAACACATGTTAAGTTATGTCGTTATTCCAAATCGCCATGTATATTTTTAAACTATACAAATAAACTTATTCTTTTTTTCCAAATTAACAGGTATGTGTAATCCGGTCTTATGTATTAAATAATTAATAATCAAAATTAGAAAAAATTTAACTTTAAGAAATAAAATAACAATTTCCAAATACTATCTTTTATTTAAAGAACTTAAAAACATATTTAATCAATTCATTTAGGAAACATAACATACTTTATATAAAATTAAGTTGTAATTTCACATACATTAATAAAAACAAATTCGTTATTTCAGCAATATAATCAAATTTTATTATGATAATATTTTTAATTTTCAATTCCGTTTTCATCCAGAAAAACATCGTCATCTGTTATATCGGGATCCAAATTTGGTATAGTATCATCTGTTAAATTTTTGTAAAAGTCATGGTAACATGGTGCTATTAAGTCCAATAACGAAACTAAATCTTTTTTTTTTCATTTGATATAACTGGTCTTTCAGTAACTTGAGTTATGTCATTAACACTAAGATTTTTAGTACCACGTTTATAAATATTTAATGTTTTGAAAGGTAAAAATGCATCTAAGGAATTTTTGTATTGTATTTTAAAAGGATCTGTTTGACTATATTTAAGCCACTTAATATTTTGCCAAACAAATTTTTCACCACTTTCATTAAATTTTCTCCAAGTAAATTTGGTTTTTTGAAAAGCTACCAAAGTCAAAAAATTTATCTGCCATTTCAGTAACATGAAACTGATTTTTGCCACCACAAGTTCTAACAAATAGGTACCATTCATTTGGATGATGAATTGGAGCAGAATACTTTTTCTTTCTTCGTTCAATTATTGCATGATCTACATCACTTTCCATATGGCTAGGAATTTATGTTCTATTGTTTTGATATGTGAATGTATTTGTAAAAGTAAAATAAACATTGCACTAACGTACGAATTTTTGTTTTGTCCAGCGCAGGAATCACTATACAAAATCAACGTGTCTATTTTAACATTTGCAGCTAAAGAATTTAATTTAAAAAATAAACAGGATGAAATTTCATTTGCTCCCTTTTTACCTTCCGCCTCATGCCATATATGGTTAAATGCTTCGTTTGTTTCGCAATCATGTATAGTTAAGTTATATGTAAAAAGTTTTCTTTTATAATATGAAACGTTTGCGTTTAGGTACGGTGTTGGAAGACACTGTTGTAAATCAAATGTAAATGTTTTCATACTTATATTTGATTTAGATAAATTTTTATCTATTTCTTTAGTTTTATACGCTAAATCGGCTTCTATATGGTGTTCTGTTTGTTGTAGTTTAAGTACTTCGTATTCAGGTAGATTTTTTTCAGTAAAATCAAGTTTCGCTTTCAAAATATCACATTTGTTGCATGTATCTATTTTTGGCGACTTAAATTTTAAATTTTGGGAATGAAAAATTTCTGCATATTTTGTAATGCTAATTTTGGGGTTCGCATCGTTCGAACAATAAAGTTGAAACATTTTGGCTATTGACAAATCTGAGCTTAAATATTTTTTTGCAGTATCCCGCCGGGAGTAATGACTTTCGTACGCTGGAAAGCTTAGAATGTGATTTTTAATACTCTTAATTTTATTTTCATCAAGTTTATTTTTTGGAACAGCTTTTCCACGCCCCTCAGTAAAGTTTGAAGTTAGTTTCTTTTTGGTTACACTTCTTAAAAATCCTGGTGATTCTCCAAAACATTTCATAAAACATATTTTGCAAACATTTATTTTATTACCGTTTATTTCAACATGATAGTAAATTGTATTTTCTCGGTTTTTAGGGTTTGCTTCTGATTTGTTTAGCTTCTGTGATAGTTTTCTTGCTAATTCAATATTTCCTGAAATGTACAAAACTCTCTTTTCATACGAGTTCAACGCCCAGTATTTGTCGAACAAACTTTTCTGTTCATTATGAGTAATTCTCTTCATGCAAAGTTTTTTGCAAATACTCAAGGGCAAAAATTTGCGATAACTAACTAATTTTCCCCTTTTAGAAATGTAGGACTTTCCAGAATTTCGTTTTCTTTTTATTTCTTTTTTTGAATTAGGTTTTAGCGCACCCGTATTTTTTATTGTTGTATCGGTTAATTGAAAACTATCCTCCTGTTGCAAAGAATTTTCAATTTGCGCACCCATATAACTTAAACTATCATCTGATGAAACGGACGGCATTTCAAAGTTTGGGTCAGCTATTTCATTATCGGAACTAAAATCTGATTTGAGTTCTTCATTTAAATCATTTGTATGTATTTTATTTTCTTGGTTGGACATACCTGATGGTAGTATTTATGAATGTAATTAGTTTGAAATAAGAAGATGCACATATAATTTAATAAAAACTAATATATAATGGTAATATTCAATAATATAATATAATTCAAAAAGCATTATGCACATCTATATTATATTTTACAAGATTTTTCCAGTTCATGAACAGGTATACATATAATCTAATAAATAACAAAAACAAAAAAATGAAAATAGCAAAAGAGAATACTGGGTAGAAACATTACTCAATTGATTATACATACTGTAAAGCAAAAACAAAAAATGAAAAGCGAAAAGCGAAAAACGAAAGAGAATAAAAAAAGAGTAATATTTTTTTTGTTTTTTTGCTTTACTACCATAAACAAAAATAAAAAGCAAAAGGAAGCGAAATATTTTAAATGAGTTAAGTAAGAGTAAAATAATTTTTTGTTGTTGTATTTAACATGGAATGAAATTAAAAAAAATAAGACTAAAAATTGTGAGAGATATAAGAACACGAATAACGTTACGTTACGTACTAAGGCATTTATTCTTCGTGTGCTTGCGAAATTTCAATTGAGTAAGTAGCCAAGCCAGGTCTGTATAAAGAAAAGAGGCATTGATTTTTTATTAATTCACATTCACTTTGGTTTTAAAGTTTAGCGTGAAAGGTACTATTTCCTTTCCTTTTAATTTTGTTCGGCATCAGTTCCCCATCCGTCTTGCATATGCCATGTCTATAAATAAGTCCCAAGGGCAAACTTTTGAAAAGGTTGGCCTCTATCTCCCCCAGCCGTGCTTTTCGCATGGGCAATTATACACAACATGTTCAAGAGCCATAGACTCCAATTCTTTAAAAATTCAAGTCAAAGATACGGTTCGTCAGGGAAAAATCGATGATGGAAATATTTTAACAGATAACGTTGTTTATAAGGAAATTTTTCGTTCTTAATTGTTAACTAATTCTTAAATTGAATTTTAATCATATCTATGTAATTAACAGTGACACATATTACATCTTAAAATTTATTAAATTAAAAATATTTCCATTACTTTTATTTATCATTAGTATTCAAACCAATATGATATTTATGCATGTACAAGCATATACCTGCATATGTATGCCATAATATGTACAAATTTTTCTAAACTTATTTTAAAATTGATTGCCACAATCCTGTTTTTACAACAAATAATGCTGCTTATAAGCAAACCACAGGGGCCCCTAGTATACATATAACGTACCTGTTGTTTTTTGCGAAGGTAGATAACTGTATTTGGTTTAATTTTTTATGGTAGAATTTTATGGCATTTTATAGAGCTTTCAAAAATTTTTAATCAAATATTCACGATGTTTAATTATAAATTCACTTATTTTTATAGCGTTTACAGTAAGCAAATCAACAGTTTCTGATACAAACCAATCGCATATTAAATGTGAATATTAAATTCAATTATTTATAGTTAAAATAAAACAACAAATACGTACATACATATGTACTTTTATCAGCCAAATTGAATGAAATTTTTTACTATGAGTAAGTTTTAAAAACATCAAAATATTGATTAAGACTATTATTTATATTTACCTATTCTTTCCTTGCTAACTATTAGCTTAGCCATTTCGACAAGTCTTTGAGCTCTTGTAATCATTTTAAACACAATTTTTTAAATACAGTATATAACTTGATATATAATAAAAGGTTATTAATATAATAAAATGACCTTTTTTTTATTGAAATTTTTCAGTTAATTTAAGTGTAAAAATCAAATTTACTAAGCACTTTTTATTGACAAACTTACTTACACAAGAACTCATTTACAACTGTGAAACCTGTTTACATTCGACATAAATGCACATGTCGACATAATTTTCTCAAAATTTTTTAAGTTCTCTCGGAATAAACGAATATGTACAGTAATGTTCCGTAATTTATAGTTTTTGATTTTGCCAAAAAAATACAACTCAACCTATGCTTTAAAAAAACTGAGTTCACATTTTGGAATAAAGACAAAATCGAATTATGTAATGAACAAAACGGGCTTCTATCGCGGAATAAATCCATAAGTCAGATATCTTGTTATGCTTTTTGAACAAAAATTAAAATCCAGTCAAATTTCAATTTGGAATAAAAGAACATGTAAAAAAATTAATGAGTTGTGTGGTTATTCCAATTGTAAAAAAGCAACAAAATGGGTTGTGCTAAAATTCCATGCCTTATATCTCTTTTATTTTTTAACCGATTTTCACCAAAATTTGACACAATATGCATTTGCATATGGAGAAGAGCATGGTGGTAATAACTCATTTTGAACATATCTCGAGTTATGTCGTTTTGGCTTTTGACCACAGAAATAATATTGGGGTTGAAGTTAGAAGACATATAATGAATTCTATTTGTTAGCTAAAAAAAAAAAAATAAAACGAACGAATAAATTTTGTACTTCATTTTACTTACACATGTATGCAAAAAAGAATTATAAAATAAAAATTGTTTTAAATTCCTTTTTCAAAATCTAATTTTGCTTTTAGGTTAAATATTCCGTTTTCAAAATGAGTTTTTTTAAATTTTTTATTTTCTTTCAGTCCTAATTTCTCTTCCCTCACTCTTACTTCACGTTCCTTTAATTTTAAATCCTTTTCTTTTAGTTGAATTTATTTTTCTTTTAGTTGAATTTCTTTTTCTTTTAGTTGGATTTCTTTCTCTTTCGAATAGTTGATTTTTCGTAGGTAACGTACACATTCATCCATTTTTGAAGATATTGATTTAAAAATGTCCGTTTGTTTGTTTATGACAACCATTCTTTCATCAACAGCTTGTTTGTTTGCAATTTTCAATATTGATGTTGTGAATGGTTTTTTTTTTAAATTTTCATTAATAGTATTTTTTTTATCATCATTAATATTTTTATTGCTTTTGTTGTTATAATCTTCAACTTCAGTTAAGACATTGGCTGTTACATTTGATAACATTTGGTCTTCCAACATTTCAAATAAACCCTCATTGTTGCTGCTAGATATGTCAGTTATTTCTGTGACCATTTCAGATGAGATATCTCGTTGTACGTCCTCTTCTAGACCAAAAATTTCTCCACCTGAATTTGCTACTTTATCCAGTTGCAAGATTCTTACAATTTCTTCTTCTAAAGAAGTGAATTCATATAATTTATTCAACCCACCCCCGGTTGCCTTCAATTCTTTTTTATTGACACCTATTTTTTTCCTTACTTTTAATTTCATATCTGTCCATATCTAGAATATCAAAAAAATTAAAATATAAACACAAAAGGATCTAAAATTGTTCAAACCTTCTGCCACTCCGACATTGTTTTTATGGGTGGTCCTAAGCTGTTAAGCTTATCTGAAATACTTTTCCAAATTTTCCTATAATCGTCTTTATTTGGCATAACATTTCTAGCCAAGTAAACGTTTTCTGCCATACATGCAACCAAACATTCAAATTGTTTTCTGTTTGTAATTTTTATACTGTAAAAATAATTTTTTTTTGTCAATATTGATTAATAATCGTTTCATTTATATTAATAATTTTGTTTAATTTTATTTTCTTCTTATTTTTACTCATTTTCTTTTCTAAAAAAAATACAAAATTTCCTTAATTAAAAAAAAACACAACTCTCACAAATAAAAACTGCGTGACGACTGTCACTCGATTTTCGTGAGGGTTGTCACGAGCGTGACTACAAGAATAGCAAATTTTAACTGTCACGGTGACAACCCCGTGACGTGACTATGGGAATTGGCACCTTTAAATTAAACTTTGGTAAAAAATATTGTGATGATATTCGGTGGTTGACTACTCTTTTTCGAATGAATTCTGGAAAAAATCGTCCTTGCTTTTGTTAATAAAAAATTTTAAAAATAGTGGTACCTTTTTGCCTCCGAATCTTGCCATCATCGTACTTTTTCTTGTTAATTTGCCTTTTATTAAACACACCGCAATCTGCTATTGCAATACTCTTTTTACCTTAATTCATAATGCTATAATACATCATAAAGTGTATGTATAAAATCGAGTGCTACATTAACAGTTAGTGCGTTGACCTATTTATATACTTTACATCAGTGGTCGTAATAAGGTTTTATGTATCGTGCCAAAAAAGATGTGTTTTTTCAAACCAATATTTCGGCGTGCCGAATCTATTCGATAAAATTAAGTAGTATTGAAAATCAGAATACTTATATTCGTTTTTATATTAATTTTTATTTATTTCATTTATTATTTTATTTTTATTTATATTAAAACATAAATTTATATAAAAAAAACTTAAATATATTTAATCAACAAAAATAAAAACAAAAATATCAGATATGTGTTTCAATATCAACTTATGACGCGTGCCAGCAAAGTTTCGAAGAGTGCCAATCTTGGCACGCGTGGCACCTAATTGCGATCATTGCTTTACATGATCATATGTTCAATATTATTATACACCTTTCCTTTTTAACAGCATAACTTTCTGTTATGTTATTACGCATGGCCTTTAAGTTCTGCCAATGTGTTATCGTAACAGAAAATTAATACATGACTATTTTTATCCAAATACACAAACTGTGCCATTCGCAATAGATTTTGATTTGTAGATGGAATCTACATGTAATAATTTGCGTTGACAAGTTAGTGACCAAAATTATTTTAACAATTAGTAAACAAAAATAAACTTTCGAAGCAGATGGATAAATTTAGTAAGTATAATATTTTATTTTTAAATTCTAATACCATGCTCATTTATTATATCTTTCTTTTTGCAGGAAATCAAAGATGACTAATTAAATAATTTTTTAAAGCAGAGATGGTTTGCTAAGCTGTAAGTGGATACCAAATTTCATCGCAGGTAACTTGATTTCCAAATCAATTTTTGCATTGTATGTGTACTCATGCGTATTATTTATTTTTCAGGTTAATATTGCATTAAAGTATAGGTATGAAAATATTAATACAGATCCGAGGATATGTACTCCATATTTTTAATTCTGTAAAGGTATATTTCTTTGTGTTTTTTTTTATCTCTTTTTAAGTGCAGGTGAAGCCAAAACTCAAATAAAGAAAAGGTTTAGGGAAAAACAAAATAATAATTTTATTCAAATATATGTATGTATGTACATATAAATGTATTAGTATTTAACATTTTACAGTTTTGCGCTTGAAACAATAAAAATAAAATTTTAAGTACATACGTACATAAATTTTGTATATATGTATATTTTTTTAAAGATTGCTGACGAAACAATATTCAAAACAATAACAAATGAAGCATTAATATTCAGATGCCAAACAATATCTGATGTCTTTGATAAAACTAACTTTTATTTACGTTAAGATTATTTCGATATTTCGAACCAAAAATATGTGAGATCATTATATTTTCAAATATTATTTATTTCTCGGAACATATAGAATTAAATTTTTCAAATAAAGAGAAGGTTTAGCCCAAAACAAAATAATAATTTTATTCAAATATTATGTATGACATTTGAATGTATTTAGCATTTTACAGTTTTTCGCTTGCAACAATAAAATCAAATTTTAAGTAGATAGGTACATAAATTCTGTGTGCTTATTTTTTTAAAGGTTGCTGACGAAACATAATATTCAAAATAATAACAAATGAAGCATTAATATTCAGATGCCAAACAACATCTGATGTCTTTGATAAAAGTTAACTTTTATTAACGTTAAGATTATTTCGATTTTTCGAATCAAAAATATGTGATATCATTATATTTTTAAATATTATTTATTTCTCGGTTTGTGTTTCTAATAATAACGTAAAACGTCTTATTTATTCCTTGGTTTCTGCGTCTATCTATAAAGTATAAAAGAAAAACGTGCTTTTGTTATACAAAAATTTTCTCTGAAAATCTTAAAATAGAGCTATTTCGGGGCTAAAAAGTTCCAATGTCAGATTTTTCTGGTACCTAATTTTTTGACACCTGAGAAGTAGCTATATATATATAATAATATAATGTAAAATAGGATAGTTTTTATAGAGTTATACGAAATATGAATAAAATATGAAGGGAAATTTAAGGTACACAATCTGGTGAGTAGAGTGGTAGTCTAATAACCAGAAGGTTATTAGATCGATGCTTGCTTGGATATTGTCGTATTTTTCTTTTTTTTTGGGGTTATTTTAAAATTTTTTTTTCTATTTTGTTTAAATTTTTTGTTTTACTTTTTTTAATATATAACAGTTAAATATTTTATAATTAATAAATTAACTTTTCTATATGAATAATATTCAAAACTGTGATTTGGCATATAAAAATAAATTTTAAACACATAATTAGTAAATCATGGGGGTAAACATACAGAAATAAATTTTTCAAATAAAGAAAAGGTTTAGGCATAAAATAATATTTTTATTCAAATATATTTTTTCGTTCGAATAATTAGAAATAAAATTTTTTGTAAAAACATACATAATTATGAATGTATACCTATTTTTTAAAACTGTGGGTGAACATATAGAATTCCTTTCAAATAAAGGAAAGGTTTGGGCAAAAACAAAAAAATAATTTTATTCAAATATATGTATGTACATATGAATGTATTAGAATTTTACAGTTTTTCGCTTGGAACAATAACAATAAAATTTTAAGTACATACGTACATTGTAATAAAATTATGTTTGGCAGGGTTGCCATGTAATAAGTTTATGGTTTATTTATATTTTAATTATGTTTTCCCTAATGGCGATAAACGCCGATCTATCCAAGTTTGGCACTACTGCCGATTTGGAGAATCTTCAGTTTTAAAAAGAAAAACAAGATGTTTGTAGTTTCGATTCAAAACTTTGATTGTTTATTTTAAAAACTTATTCTACTATTTATACTAAATTCTTATTCTAAATTTACTTTAAATTGTTATTGTAATATTTACAATATGTTTCTTAAAATCTAGGTTTCTAGTTAATTATTTCTATTTCCTGGAAAAGAAAGTGCAATTCATATACCTTCATTCACTCATTACTTAAAATTACGTCAAACAATAATAATGACTGAAAATGCATAGGCTTGCATTTTTCATATTAACATTATGCATACCGCTTTATACTCTAATGTATAATATAAACATAAAGGTATGCATTGTTGTTATACACATCATAAAGTGTAAGCGAAACATATGTTCACCATATGATAATATGCCGCTTGTTTGCAAGTAATGAAATTTTAAACCGTTTAGGTAAGTATATAGCAATGTATGTATGCTATGAATATATTATGGTAATGTACGTATATCGTGAATAGGTAGGTATATAGTAATGTATGTAATTAATGTATGTATATTGCATATGCACTACACCCTTTCCGTTCGGAAAAATAAAATTTTTTATTGAAAAAAAAATTTTATTGTTGTTTGTATATTTTTAATCTATTGTTATGTATGGTTTTTATTGTATTTTTTATTTTTATTTTGGAATTTACGCCGTCTGCTTGAATTAATTTGTATGGACCATTATATGGGCTATCTAATTTGTATTTATTTTCATTTTTAACAAATACTAAATCGCCTATTTGAAATTGTATTGGCTTTAAATTTATATCATATTTATCTTTTCTTTGTTGTTTTACGGTTTCAGTTAATTTTCTTGCCTGTTTGGCAGCATAATTTAATCTGGCTTTTAGTTCTAAGGCATAGTCATCTATGTCTTGAATTGGAATATTATTATTGAAATTTAAATCAGTTGGTAAAGTGGCTATTCTCCCGTAAACTAATTCGAAAGGTGAATAGTTAGTGTCTACGTGAGGCATTGTATTATAGCAAAAAGTAAAGTATGGGATTAATTTATCCCATTCATAGTCTACTGTGAAAGATAATAAATATTGATTAAGAAATCTATGATTGCGTTCTATTGCGCCTAAAGTTTGATGATGGTAAGGTGTAGATTTAAAATGTTCTACACCGAAAATTTTACTTATATTTTGAAAAGTTTCATTAATGAATTCTGTGCCAAGATCTGTTTTAACTGTTTTAAAATTACCGTAACTTAAGATAAAGTTTTCAACTAAGGCTTTAGATATAGTTTCTGCGTTTTTATTTTGAAGTGGTATTGCTTCAACGAATTTTGTTAGTTCGCATTGTATTGTTAATATGTATCTAAAGTCATTACTTAATCTTAGAGGGCCTACAGTGTCCATGCTTATTTGTTCAAAAGGTGCTGATGGCGTGTTTGTAATTTGCAACTTTTCTTTATTATATTTTGTTATTTTATTTTTATTACATGTTTGACAGTTGCTAATGTATTTCTTTACATCTTTATTTAAATTTTTCCATACATATTTTTGTTTTATTTTATTTATAGTTTTCTTGGTACCTGTATGTCCACTTTGAGGACTATTATGATGTTCTACTATAATTTTATTTTTTAATTCATTATTATCGATTTGAATTGGTGGGGTATATAAAAATATTTTTAATTCATGCCTATTATTTTCATTTATCATTTTATTGTACAATTTTTTCAATTTATTCATATTTATTTCATTAAAAATTTTGTCTTTATTTGACAAGGCTAGCACTTCTATATTTTTCTTTTGTGTAAAAATAATAAGCTTCTCCAAGATCGAACCTAAGTCGCGAGATGAATTATCACTTACTATCGGTACCATAATTTCCCCGTTTTTTATTATTGGCATGTTTTCTTTATCTACCGGATTTTTATTATTTTCATTTTTATTGTCGACAAATTTTATTTTTGGTATACCATTTATTTCTGTAATGGAAGTACAATTCCATATAAAACACTTTTCTTTATTTTTATTATTATTTTTACTTTTGTTTTTATCTATAGCAAACATGGCCAAACTGCGGCTCGCGAGCCGCATGTGGCTCTTCAACCAATTTCATGCGGCTCTCGAAGAAAAAATTAACAAATATTTTTAGTGCAGCTCAAGTCGAAAAAAAATATTCCCAAAAAAAGTTTTTTTTATAGAAATTTGACTAAAAGTAAAAACGCAGTAGAGTATATCTTTTCCCACACTTTTTAATTTTGTCAACGCTTACTTAACATATGGAGAAATAATTTGTATATATTGTCAAAACTTAAATTCTTAATCACTCAACTTAGATTTGCAGGGTCAGCAGAAAACTATTTCTGATTTCACGCAAACAATCTTTAGTTTTCAAAAAAAATGCTACTTTTTAAAAATGATATAATGACAATGAATTTCAATCATTTTCCGAGATTGAAAGAAAAAGTCGGAAATAGAAAATGGAAAGCTTAAAGAATATGTGGATAGATTGCAGGAGTTGATGGAGAATTTTAATTTACGATTTCAAGATTTAAAAAAATTTAAAATGAATAGTATTGTATAAATTTTCTTGTAAATCCATTTGACATTGATATTATTGGTGAAGACTTCATATTTCCACAATATTTACTGAGTAAATTAATTTCAATATTCGGTATAACATATTGCTGCGAATCATTATATTCTACAATCAAATTTATTAAGTCCAAGCGCCGGTCACAGCTAACAAATGAACATTTGACTGAGCTTATACGTACGGCATTCACAAATTATAAGCCAGATTTTCATAAATTTGTAATACACACCAACCCACATGCATCAACCAGTAAAGTATAAAAATATCATATTTTTTTCTTTAATTCTAACTCTTTTTAATTTGTAGGACTAAGACATTTTCAACCAGATATTACATAATTTATAATTTATATCATTGCGGCTCGCAAAAAATTCAAAATTTTGAGTTTTGGCTCTTACCATAACCAAGTCTGGCCACCCCGGATCTATAGTATTATTTTTCTTACTTATACTACGAGTTACTATATTAATGGCGTGGGTAGGGATCATTTCTTTTAATGTATTTGTATTTATTTGGATGCGTGATAAAGCATCTGCGTTAGTATTTATTTTTCCTTTCTTAAATTTTATTTCAAAGTCATAGTCCATAAGATCTATTCTAATTCTTGTCATTTTAGACGATGGATTATTGTGTGTAAATAGACTTACTAAAGGTCTATGATCTGTAACAATTGTGAATTTCCTGCCATATACATAGGGTCTAAAATAGGATATAGCCCAATGTATACTTAATAATTCTTTTTCTATTATTGGCTTATTTAATTCATGTTTATTCAAAGATCTACTAGCGTAAGCGATTGGCCTGT